ATATAAGTTACAAATATTGATCGTTGCTATGTGTTGTACTTTTTTTTTCTTTTTTTATAATTTACCAGGTTAAGAAACTCCAGCTGCTTTTTAATCTCCCGTGGGCCATAGAAAATGACTTAGTGGGCCATATTCGGTCCCTGGGCCTTGAGTTTGACACTTGCTCTGACCTGTCTGAACAGGTCCAGCAGCGTGGCTGACTAGTAGAGCATGGCAGGACCGCAAACTTCACATTAAAAATCAAACGTAGAATGAGCTTTTGGTTGCCTCATTTGTGTGAAATGTTTTTTGTTAGAATGTATGATGCTGAATTTGGACAATTTCTATCAATTATATTCAATTCTGTTGCTAAAGGATTTAGACACGATCCTGGTTTAGTCCTAAGACTGTTATTTTTAAAGTGCATGCAGTAGTGAACTTAAAGCTTCCGTCACTGGTGATATGTTTTGTGTGTCTGTGGTGACTCCTAGAGTCCAGCAGTGGAACTACAAAAACGTACTTTCCGGTGGCGTACTTACAGTATGTTTTTCACCACTCTTATTGACAGTGACGTTGTCATGTGACCTGTGCATTTGGTAAAACTCGGGTGAACAAACAGTCGAGTCAAGTGTATGAGCAGCAGACAGTCTGAGATAAAAGCCAGCTGATAGGAGAGGTGACGTCATTGTGGCAGTTGTACAGACCTGAGACTCGTGGCTCTTTGTCAGTCAAACTCACCTGCTCACATGAATTTACTGCAGCTATTGCTGGTAAATGCCCTGCTTGGAGACAACACAGAAGCTTTGGACAAAGTTAAAAGCACAAGACACATACGTTTCCCGTCAGGATATCTGCATGGCTGCTGTAAACCCCCACAACACACACATATATTAAATAAGCCAATTATTCTTTACTTTTCAATGATACGTGGCATTTTACGTAGCAAGTGAATCATCACTTCTAGAGTTTTCTCTTCCGTGGTCTTGCAGCGGAAACGTCTCAAAAACATGGCTCTAATCTCTGATAAAATACAGAACAGTTCTTTGTGCTTTAGTAACAACAGAGAAAAGTCCTTCACCTGCTCCGAGCAGTCTGCTCTCTGCCGTCATCATATCCTGTGTTTCTGTTACAAATTCTTTGTGGTGCATTTTAATTCCAATTTTCTAGCCGAACGTTTTAGTTTTCAACAAACAAGGGGGGAAAAAATTAAACTTTAAAATTCTCCGTGTATTCGTCAAAGTCTTACTCAGACATGTTTCTCCATGACGTCAACTGAATAGGAATTTGAGTTCGACTAACTGCGACGTTTAAATTTATTGAGATGTCGCTCAACTAATAAAGCAGACACTAAATGAACCTACGGATGACGTCCAATTAACGCCCAGTTCGTCATGAAAATAGGCGGAACATGCGGTCGAAAAGCCAACCATAACAGAGAATAATTAGAAGTCAATTAGAATTGAAGAGCGGGAAGACAGCAGCGTGTAAAAAAAAAAAAAAGGTTATTACGGTAAACATAAAATGGAAGTTAATAAGTAGTAAACAAGTGCTGCCCAAATATATTGTTACTTTATTTTTATGCTTTATATTGCCTTTACTCTGCAAACGTGCTAGCTGATGTTACCATAGTCAAGTTAAGGTGTTTTGAAATTCTAATGCTTAAATCACTACAGCAACACTTTATTGATTTATTTTAAAGTCAAGTCACTAGTCAAACAAACCAAATTAGACCGCAGGTCCAAGTCTAATGTCTTTAACTTTGTTCCACACCATAGCAGAAAATGTTAGCGTCTGGCATTATCATCACTATAACAACGGATTAAATCAAAAGCATGTGGATTGGCTTGTAATGCAACCCACCTAGGACACATCCCAGCTCTCTTCCTTGGGTTTTAAGAAAAACAAAAACACTGAAAAGCCTTTTTTTCCCCCTCCTACAGTGAAATGTTGTGGGGTTTTGTTCAGCAACTGCAGATAGGCTGAACACAATTTCAGACCTGAGTGGATAAAGCAAAGCAGCAGTGGCGGCGCACAGACAATCGGCACATGATCAAAGTTGTAGTTTTAATAAATTCTTTACAGCAGGAAGAAGAAGAAGAAAAAACAACTTTTATAGATTTATATAAACTCAAAGATGATTCTCCATCGTACAAGAGGATCATATTCATATAAAACACAACAGCATTTCTGTTTCGCTAACGTAGTGTTTAAGAATATAGCTTGGTCTAAGCCAGTGAAGGAATTACTGTGTGCTGCTTAAGTCGGCTTCATTCAGAAAATATACATTTGTGTTGAATCAGTATAAAGTTCATCTTAACAGCAGGCTAATAAAAAAAGATCCAGAAAACAGGACAGGAGAATTTACAGTGGACATTTTGACCTTTAGACAGCAGAGACATGGACATGAAAAGGACAATGGACAAAAAACAAACAAAAGGTACAATGTACACTCATTAAATCTGGGACGCATATATGTCAAATATTAAATAAATAAAGACATACACAGCAAGAGCTGTGGCAGAAATCAAAGGGTAAACTTTCCAAATGGACAGGTGGAGTCAGGTTATATAAAACAAAAGTAAAGAAACCAATTATGAAAGCACGTGTAAGACATTTTCAATTCGACTTGGTTGAATAAATTGTTAAGATTTAAGTCTTAAGTACTTAACTTTTGTTTCCTTTCACAATTATTCAGTACAGCTTCCACGCTATCTTTACATCGCTTTGTTTAAATATTACAATTTCAGTTCTTAATGTGCTGTACACAACTTTGATTGCAGTTAGTAATGTTGCGATTATTGTTATTGTTCAGCTCAATCATTAGTTTGAACATTGTAAACTTTGGCGATTGAATCAAAATATTTTGATTGTGGCTTTTTTATTTTATTACCTTTACAGTTAAATTACAGCAGGTATCATTCTTGGATAGTGTGCTCTCTTGGTTAGCAGACAGTATGTGGCTAAATATGTGGCCAACCGGAAATACACTGTTAGCCCATCCAAAAAGGGCCAAAACCTAACAATCAAAGTTGCTTTAAGTCGTAACAATTGATCATTTTAATTTACTCCTTTGTGAGGAATTATTGTATGTGTGAGACTTAGCTGCACACTGAAGTGTTCACCAACCAAAAAAAAAAAAGTAAAATAAATTAAAAAGACAATAATTTAATAACCTGTTTACATTTATACAAACGTGACGTCAGCTGGTAAGGGGGTCCAGTGACGTAAACATTCATGCACATGCGCGCGCACGCGATCAAAAGATAAGTACCGTTTGTTTTCATACTTTACGCCTTAATAGAAGAGGGTTAACGGAGCGACACTGCCCTCTGGTGTTCACATTTTTTATAAAGCAGAAAAAGAAACACAAAAAGTCTCTGCAAAAGTGGTCAGTCAACCCCGTTCAAAGAGAGGCACTGGTTCGTTTCTTCCGCCGTCACTGTGAGAGAAGTTACATGACTGTACATCCCAGGTCCACGTTATTACTCACTTACATCTGCCCTCTGGCGTTAGAAAATAGTTCACATTCACGTTCAGTCTTGTGTTGGTTTAACTAACTCTCTGGGAAACACGCAGGAGAGGACGTAGTGGGCAGAACTGGAGGAGAAAAACACTTTCTGAGAGTGATTTTCTGACGTCACAAATGCCATTATAGGGAATTGTGGCTTATTAAGGCTGAAAACGTAATGTCAATAATTGTTTTTTTAATACTCACGAGTAGTGAAAACATACATTAATGCCCCCACCCCCCGATCAGCTGCTAAGGTTGACTTATGACCTATGCACCCACATGTGACACTGCTTTAAACTCATGTGCTTCACATCAGCTGCTATGGTTGACCTATGCACCCACATTTGACACTGCTTTAAACTCATGTGCTTCATTACAACAAAGTCAAGAGACCACAGAGTTTGAAGAGCTTCACCACAATGCAGAAGTTTTTTTTAAAAAAAAAGTCACTCTGGGTTTTCTTAAACATCATGTGTCAAATATGTGTAAAAAATACTAAAATACAAAAAAAGAAGCTGTAAATTATCCTGTGTGTGTGTCATGTGTTATGTCCTACAAAACAAAAACTTTCCAAGATAACCTGTCTTCTGTAGGTGTCGAGTGTTTAACAAAAAGAATATTTTATTTAAATTACTAGATTAAAGTTGTACATTTCCAAGACTATTTTCATAACCTTATGAGAAAAGTCGTAAGTTTATGAGAAAAGTCATACATTTACGAGAAGTCATTTTTTACAAAAGAAGTCAAATTTATGAAAAGTAAGTTTGTGAAAATGTTTGTACAAATCTTGGCGTAACAAAGTCACAAATGTGCCAGATTAAATTGCAAATTATGAGAGACTTATGAGAACTTTTTTGTAAATTAATGACTTTTTCCCTCTTTTTTTTTCAAAATTAAGGTTGTAAATTCTCATTTTTTTTTTTCAAAATTAAGGTTGTAAATTTCTGAAAATGGAGTTTTAACGTCATGAGAAAAACATAAAAATTTACAACCTTAATTTTGAAAAAATAAAAAAATAAAAAATCTCAATGTGGCCCTAATACTCCGTCCTATGTCCCAGATCTGTCCCATATCAGTCATGTTTTTGTCCTTCGCTCTGCCCAGTTGACGTCCGTGCCTCAAAAGCAGCTCTGCTGTGTTTCCAGGGGAAAAAGGCTAAAACTCAGTTAAGGCATCTCACTTGTTCACCCGCGTCCATCACCTTTCATCTATTTCACATTCAGGTCAAATTCTGTGCCCAATACTTCCTGCTGTTCTACATGGCTGCGACTTCCAACCGGGGCAGCTGTGGACAATCGCTACAAGCTGCATCTCAGGCCACATTTCCTCGGCTCGACTCTCACGACAAACTCTGTCTTTTCATCCCTGAGCGGTGAATAATTGGGGCGTACACTTCACCACCTACGCTAGGTTTCCTTGCATGTCACAGAAGAATGTTTTGAAAGACGAAACGGGACTGTTGACAATGACATTAAAAGCCTCCAGGCCAGGTTTTTTTTTTTTCGTTGTTGTTGTTATATGTGCTGTGTTACGTGCTTTACTCAGCTGTGGTAACGCGATAGGATAGTCTCCCACTAAAGGAGACTATCTCGTTTCAAATGAGCCTCCTTGAAGCAAGTTGAGGAATCAAATAAAATGTCATTTTGTTTTTGTTTGCCAGTAGTGATTTCTATCACCTCCAGATGCAGCTCTGTCAGTGAGCGATATCAGTAACGTGAGAAGAAAGATTCCTCGGAGACTAGATTGCTCTACTTTGTTTGCTCCTCTGAGCAAGTTAGGCTCTGACAAGTGGATTCTACCTGGCCCGACCCGTCTGTCCCAGCGGAGCCTGAAGTGTCAGTGAATACACTTTACCACAGCAACTATTAATCCATGCATCTGTAGATGGCAAACAAGCCTGGTGGCTAATGTACGTAAACCTTATATGAGGGTCTTTAGCCCCTAGGGCTTACAGGACCAATGAATATGAAGGATGGTGACCTCTAATTGGACAAGTCGGGGTCTTATTGTGCTGCCGAGACACCGAGTAGGAACATACACACCTCAAAACACACGCTGATAATGTAATACGGTCTATGATGACGGCTGCTGGCGTCGTCCTCAGACTTTAGACCAGCAGGTGGTAGTAGACTGCGTAGAGCAGGGCCATGGCTGCACAGTAGAAGAAGAGGAAATCTGTGGACAGTAGCGAAGAGGACGGGGACGACAAGGCGGACAAAGGCGAGGAGCGACAAGGGGAGCCGTCCTCTCCCGTTCCCACCTCCTCAGTGGCGGCAGTAACAGTGGCCAGCAGGGCGGCCACACAGCGCAGCACAGCAGGCAGCTTACAAAGAAGCACGTCAGAGCACACGCACAGGTCCCTCTGGACAGCACACACGCACGCACACACACAGACACACAGACAGGAGGAAAATTCATGTTGTCAGAACTTGTGGGAGAGGAGAGGGACAACAGCAGAGTGTAAAGTTACACAAAGCGGAGTCAGGGTTGGACTGAAACCTAATCTGAGTTTCAGTTCCACGCTGACAGAACAACACAGAGGTGTTAAACATCTAAGCTTGAAGCCTGTGTAAATCTCCTCTGCTTCAATCCTTAGGAAAAAACAACACAGAAGAGGGTCCACGAAATAATATAAATAAAAGCAAGACAGATTTACCTCAGGGACTCCCAGCTTGCGACAGGCAGCGATGAAGTTTTCCACATTAAGTCGACACTTGGCTGAACTCAGCTTTGGCTGCGAACACAACGATGTTTGTTCAAAATCAGCATCCACCTTGATGTAAAACTTTATCTGGTTATTTAAAAATAAGAAGAAAAAAAAAAAGCGGTGCAAAACAAGCAGGATTTCCCCACAATCTGCACTCAGTCACATATTTCAAAATACAGGAGGTCCTTGTTTTACCATGGCCTCGACCCATGGCGTTTTACCTTCGATCTCATCATTCCAAAGTACAGCGTTAAAACATTTTTTCTCGAGGGGGACTAGTTGGTTTTGCCCAACACAGATTTGTTCACCGGTTGTAGCCATACATTGGATTGTGCTACATTTGCTTTCTTTTGTTTGTGTTGTTTTTTAGGAACTTTTTACCCTTCATTATGGCTCCCAAATGTAAGTCAGACTCATTTAATGTTTTTATGTCCTAGATCAGGCATGGCAAACTAAGGCCCGGGGACCAGATGCGGCCTGTTACTCTTTTTAATCCGGCCTGCCAAACCTTTCCAAATGATATAATTTGTTTATATTATCAGTACACGTCTGCCTTTTCCCTGCAATACCCACGTTTCCCCAATAGATGGCGTAGAAAATTATAAAACCATTTCAGGATTTTAGCCTATTTGCATGACGTTTGCATGTCATTTATTTTAGTTCGCACGAACGCTCCAAATCGAATTACGTCATCATGGGAATGGAATTCCGACGTAAGTCCAGGACCCCTGTAAAGTTCTAGTGGAGGTGCTAGCGCGTACCGCAGCACATGTAGGTCTCAAGCAGAATTCGATGAAGTACAGTACATAGATCGGTAACAAGGATCAGCCCCATTATCCAGTTCACGATGTACAGTAGCTAATTAGTCAGTATCGGAACAAATACGCAATGATAGTATTAGTGATCGGTGCAACCCCAGTTTAATTTTTTATTTTACCTTTATGTAGATGCACATCATGAGACTTCTGTGCATAACAGCTAAAGAAGAACAGCCAAAGTTAGAAATACTCACCACAGCTGGAGAAGGAACGTTAATGGTTAATACAGAGCGCGGTTTGATCTGATTGACCAGCTGACACAGGACCGTGCCATTGGACAAGGCCTCACTCAGATCCTCAGGGAGAATGATCTTTAACCGAGACTCTAGAATCTGTAGAGGGAGACACGAACCGTCATCTGACTTATTTCTTGAATTATTATTATTATTATTCATTCTTCTATAGCTTATCTGCTGACCTCTTACTGACTTATTTCTTTCTATTTCTTCATTCTTCTATAGCTTATCTGCTGACGGCACCTTGCGAAGCTGTATGATGTCAGCTCTCTCCTCTTTAGCGGTGCGTAGCGTTGCACTGGATTCACTTCTGCTCAATTCGCCTAGAGAAAATAAAGGGCCCCGACAATAAGACGGGTAACTTAGCTAACACAGCAAAGCAAAGAGTGTGTCTGTCTGCGTTCCATACCTATTGGCTTGACATTGCTGCGTGAAGAAGAGCGAAACAGGAAGCTGTTGGGTTTCTGAGATGGACCCTGAGGCGTCTTCAGGGAGGACGGGACATCTGAGGTCGACATTAAAACACAAGTTAATGTTTTCTAGCTCCATTTAAATCACAAATTATCACCACTGAGAAAATGTTAACAACATATGTTGATATAATCTTATTGACAAGCAATACTTTTAGTACAACTTACTATAAGTACAACTGAGTAACCAAAACTTTCTGACCATGTGTTTTATAGTATACCATTAAAGGTACTCTGATTAACAATTTAATTTTTATATATTTACCCCTCTCTTGTGTTCTCTGTTTTTGCATATGAGAATTGATTCATAATTTCTTTTGATATGGGTGTAAAAAGAAACAGTCAAAAACATTAATACAGTAAAAGTTGTTACTCTGTTCCAGGTCAGCGTTTCCTAAACGTTTTCTGAAGCACCCCCTTTTTGCAGTTACAACTATTGTTGAGCTGAAATTAAACTTGCTTTGAACAAAACTGCTCGTCAATGAAAAAAAGAAAGAAATTAAACTGAAAAGCAGCACAATTTACGTGCTGTGTTAAAGTCAAAGTAAATTTTGAAATTCAGCCGCACCGAAGAGTCCCGCATTGTCAGAGTCCATTGTTGGCAACCCTAGTACTGTCGTTTAGTATTTATTTTCCTTCAAACACACTGCTTTTTAACGCATTAAACGTATCAAATGCAAACACTACGTCAACCACACTGCTTTTTTAACGCATTAAACGTATCAAATGCTAATTGTAAAGTAATTCGGCGCTAAATGACACGTCGAAACGCAGTTATATACATTAGTTACTCCTCAACTAATAAAACTAGACAAAACAAATTGGCAGAGAAGCGGTGTAATCAGCGTTGACTTCGTCATTAAAACAGGCGGAACAAATGAAAACAACAGCCAATCAGAGTTAAGTTTGTTGCCTTGAGGCGGGACAAGTGAGCGGTTGTCAAATCAGAACGAGTGCGAGTCCGGTAGAAGGATAAACGGAAGAGTGTACGAAGGAGCAGAAAGACTATGAATATTCATTTCAATATTCTCTTTATTTTTCATATATTCTCTTTACTCTCTTTATTTTTGCCACACGGAAGAAATTATTCTGGCGTGTCATTTAGTCGTTGTTATTGTTAAAAGATAACACCTGTCCAATAAAACGTAGTTCCTTCTTAACTGTCGATCCTTCAAGGGCTCAAGGTTCTTTATTGTCATTGCAACACGTGTTAGACATGGGGCGAACGAAATTAGTTTCCCTGGTGCCGGCTCGAGTACAGGTGACAGAGGGGAAAGCGTTCAGGGTTGACGAAAGAGGAAAGGGGTGCTTGTGCAATGAATGAAAGATAAGAACAACAACACTGTGCAAAGGCAACCAGAGCAACATATGTGGGGAAGCTGTGAGTCATTCCCCCTTCCCCCCAACGCATTCTTCCCCTAGATGAAACGATGAGTAAAAACCTATAAACTCAAGTTAATAAATATTATACAACACACACAGCGTTTTACACCAGAAACTCTTATTTGAATGAGGTCAACTTAAGTTAAATACAGTAAAGTCGACTACAATAATTGTGATATTTCGTTAACTCAATCTTAACTAAAATTAAACCAGTTCTATTAACTTGAAAAAAGTTCAAATTTAATTGTAAAAATAAATCAAAATAGGCCCTAAAAATTAAAAATTTAGAGCTTGACTCCACAATTTTGAAAAAAATGTGTATATATTTTAAAAATAACTTTAAGAACAGACTTTATGTCAATAGTAAAATAACGTTTTGGTTTGTTTTGTTTCTTTTTTTACTATTCAACCTTAGCGCCGAGTGTCGTTTCAAACAAGTAAAAACATTCTTAAAAATTAGGTGAGGGAGGAAAAAGTAAAAGTAACATCGGTACGAAGCAGCAAACTTGTTTCTAAGGCAACAGGAATTGTTCTAATTTTGTTACTCTTTTTGTGACTATAATGAAGGTGTGTTTTGTATTGTGAGAGTGTGTGTTTTACCTGTTCTACTGTTGGAGCGCTGCAGCAACAGTGAGGGTGACGCTGTGCTCATCTGCTCAGCACTCTGATGAAAACAACGAGATAATGTTTTTTTGTTTGTTTGTTAGTTGTTTTTTTAAAATCACAGATAGCTATTGTCACCGGAGGGAAAATTACTCACTGCACATCTCTGCCTCAGGCCAGAGTTAGAGCAGTTGTTCTGCTCTGGAGATGCACCGCTAGGGGGAGACACACACAAAGTTGTTGTTTTTTTTTTCATTTAGATATCCACAATATATCGTCCCAGAATGTGACATAAAGAGTTTTGAGTGTATCTAAGACAGAATCGGTTTGTTTTTTATCTGCTTTTACTCACGCAGAGCTACTTCCTGGCTGTGCTGCTGAAGCCGTGTGACTTCCTGTTTTAGTAGATGACTTCAGCAAACTGCAAAAGAGAGAGTGTTTTGGACAGAATGTATGTCAAGTGCTCAACCACATATGCAGGTACACGTCAAGTTTAATGAAGAAGTGCTAAAATTCCTGACAGTCAACCACAGTGAGTGTTCACCTGGCCTTCTCCCTCTGCTGCTGCTGCAGACGCTCTCTTTCCTGCCAGATCTGCAGGCTGCCCGGCCGCCTCCTCTCCTCCAGGCTGGGGCTGGAGGGAGATAAAGGAGAGGGGCAGACGGACGATGGAGGAGCCATCTCCAGATGAAGGCTGGATCTGTAGCAATGACATGAGTTTAATATGTTTAAACTTGAATGTTTCATAAAATGTGACATAAACATAAATGTGTTTAACTGTCCACTGCAGGAAATTTTATTTTTTGATTTAGCTCAATCGAATGAAGCTGGATTTAACAGAGGTCCTGTGACTGTAAGATATTTATGAGAAGGAAGTGGTCAGAAGTTCCTAGGAGAACCAGACTAACTCTCACCTAATGTGTACAACATTAAACATTTCAAGAACTTAAAGCAGGGCAGTGGACATCATGGGACCATCTCCTCTACTGCCTGATTAAAAAAAAAAAAGTCTTGTTGAGATCTTGGGAAGATAGAAGATATAGAAGATATGCAGCAGTGGTCATGTCAACAGAAATGCCCCAAAAAGCACATGTAACAATAAAATGGGGGCAGTGGTGGCTTAGTGGTTAGTAAGGAAGCAGACTTGGGTCTTGAAGGCTTCAGGTTTGAGTCCACCAACGGCAAAGTCACCACTGAGGTGCTCTGAGCATGGCACACATTCATTTTGACGATGGGTTAAAAGCAGAGGTCACATTTGGTTGTGTGCAGTGGTGTGCTGTGTCACAATGACAAGTAGTTCAGTGTCCTTTCCTTAAAAAATGCAATGATCATCTAGTTTCAATTCACTCAATTTACCCACTGTGAAACCTGGGTCTGTTTAGTTGAACACAACACACAATATTTCTTATAACTTACAACGATTACAACTTACAACGATTTCTTATAGAAATCAGCTACCACCTGGAGGACATTTTTTTTATTTGATTGTTGTGCCTGTATTTTACTCTGTACTGTTATATGTGTAAAATAACTTACTTAATCCCTAAAGGTTAAATAGTTTATTGCATGTTTCAAACTTGGATAATTGAGAAAAAACAAACAAAAAAACCCCCCCCAAAAAACTTTACATTAATAAAGTTTAATAAAGTTTAAACTAACATTGATTTCTTAATATTTAAAATAGTTTCTTAATATTCACATTTCTTGCTGCTTCATTTCGTTTTCATTCATTTGTTTTAGTGACATTTGTAACCTCAAACTGTCATGTTGACAGTTTTGGATTTCTTTTCTTCGACTTTTTCCTTAAACCCTCAGGTATTTAAATAAACACATCTCAAAATATTGCACTTGGTTGAACCAAATACACGTTTCAGAGTAAGTCCGTTACTGTCTAACTAACTAATGCTAAAAAAAAGTAGACCGCTATTTTTCACCAACTTTGTATATGTTCCATTTTTTATTTCTGGGCTGTATTTTTAGACATCCCACAGGAAACAATGGGAGCCGTTCGCTGGAGCATCCGTTTGCCTGAAAGGCTGCTGTTTACAAAACAGTCGCAACTAAATACGCTGCTCTCACCGAACCTCGGCCATGTAACGGCATGTGTGACTTAATGAAGGTTCGAGTGCCGAATGGATGATAGTAATTTGGACAAAGTACTAGGTCATAAAAAGGCCCTAAAAACAGAGAGATGAAGCGTTTGCTGTTTGTTGCGCCACAGGCAGAGAACAATAGCCCTTGGTCACAGTTAACAAGTAGCCAATGGGACTCATGGGAAACCCTCTCTCAAGAATGTGGTTATCTGTATTGTGGAACAGCCAAGAGGCATGATAGCGGCGCTGACCTCTGGGCTCAAACACGTGCAAAAAAAAAAAAAAAAAAATTTCAGGGGAAGTTCAGGGGAAACCTGACTTCCTATGATGTTTGAGTTATAAACTAAAGCGTGGGCGGACCACCGTTTCACTGCAGTGAGCTTTCTTAAGATAACAGTGTCTACAAAAGTACAGTTGAGCCAGCTGAGTCTTCAGGAACTGCTGTCAGCAATGGGAACAGCATCGGTATTGACTTTTCCCAGCTCTGTAAATACTGGGCAAAGCGGACTTGTGAAACAAAGAGGAAAGAAGAGGATAAATAGTAATAAAAAAAAAAAAAAACCTGATAAAACCGTGTCCGTCTTTGTTACTCATAGTGACAGAGTACATAGTCACACACCAAGGAAACCGTACACTGGTGAAAAACCGTCAAAGAAGCTGAAGCTACACGGGTCGCTGCTTAGGATTGGTCATAAAAATTCACACCGATACATCCGTCGTTGACAAACAGCCTTGGTGTGAGTGCACTGAAGACTTAGCAGATGGAAGAAAAAAAAAACAATCATCCTATTAGCTTCTTCCGGGATGCTTTCAGTCAAATCTGTGCACGGTGAATCTGAATGTGATTTGTTTTTTTTAAGTGTAGGGGACGGATACAAACAAATATTAGACTGACCCCTCTGCACAAACAACCAAATGTGACCTCTGCTTTTAACCCGTCACCAAAGTGAACAGTGGGCAGCTTTAAGCAGCAGTGTGTGGGGACGGTGCCATGCTCCGAGCACCTCTGTGGTGACTTGGACTCGAACCTGAAACCTTCTGGACCCAAGTTCACTTCCTGAACCACCAAGCCACCACTTTCCCTGTTTTCATTTGGAAACTGCGATTTTTTAAAACAACAGAAGAAACCGAGTATTGTGGATGTGGATTGAGGAGTACCGTGTACATACTGAGGATGTTATCTCTATAAACAATATACTACAGATAACACTTCACAAGAGGAGCAAAATCAAGCACAATAATATTATATATATATAATATATATATATATTATAACATCAATTAAAAAAATATTTTAGTTCTGCAACCCTTATTTTGAAGAACCCTAATATAAAGTTTTATGTACATATACATATATACACATATACATACATATATGTATATGTATATACATATAAACACATATGTATATAAATATACATATAAACACATATATGTATATAAATACACATACACTGACCACTGTAACACATGAAGACTTTTGGCTACTTCCCTTTATTAGTTGTCACCGCAGCAGTTGCTAATACAATCAAAGTACAATTTTTATTTTAAATACATTAGATGTCTAAATAGATATTTTAAGTGTACTGTCTGTGCAATTAGGCCATGAATACAGTTTATTTTTAAATGTTTTTGCAACACTGCCCCGTGCAGAAATTATTGGTTGCCCTAAAACATATAGGTACTATAACTAGGTATATAGTGTCTTCTTTTATGGGGTTGGTGTCCACATTGCCTGTATTTCCCATTAACCAATTTCCCAGAATATCTTGAGCTATACTGTAAAGGGTATTTCTATTTTACATACTCTGGTGTGTAGAGAATAAATGGATTCACCTGCACGTTGATGAGTCTTGCGTTTGGGAGGGTGAATGTCCTTCATTCTGAGCCTGAAAAACAAGGAAAAAATGGCTGAGTCTATTGTTCTGGGTGGAATATAAAGGGGAATAAAAAGGATATGTGTATATGACTGATCCTCACCAGTGAAGTGGGTGGATCCGTCCTGGTCTCCTCTTCTTCCTCGGTCACACTACTGTCAATAAAATCCACCTGTTCTGCCTCTCCGTTCACTGACAACAGAACAAAAAAAAAGATCAGTTATCTGTTTTACTAAAGAACTTAAAATGATAAAAAATTAAAAATATATCCATGGATTCTATTACCTTTTTTTGTTTCTATGGGAGATGCTTCCTCCTCTTCCTCCTCCTCCAGGTTCCTCTGGTCTCTGCTGACCTCGGCCAGGCGTAGCGAACGTTCTGAGAAGTCGTCTGCGGACTTAACGCAAACACAGAGTCCATCGGAGTGAATAAATGCTAATATAGATACATACATACATATACAGGATTTACACATGAATATATACAGACATATATTTATATTCACTGTATATTTGTGTGTGAATATAAATATATACAGAAATATAGAAATATCTATATACACAAGCATATATTTATTTATATACATTTTATATATGTCTGTACATATATAAAAATATATAAATATATAATATAAATATATATAAAAGTAAACACAATATGTCAAATCTATCATATACAGAATATACTAAAAAGCAACACAATCATGTAAATAATTAATATTATACTATTAAAAAATAATTTGTGCTCTTAAAAAAATAATTAAAAAATCGGAGGGTAATTGTGGATTATTTACGACTATCCAGGATAAATCAACATATCCTGAATATGACAAAAATGAAAACTTGTATCTCACTGGAACAGACAGAAGAATAACAGGAAGAAAAATGTGTTTATATTAGTGACTTTTCCAAATGATCAAACTATTTATAGACTTTATACAGTATATATTTTTTATATTGTCAGTTGATACTGTGCATCTTGGTGCTGGCTTGATGAGTCCTTCGCAATTCATTCGACAGTTGTGTCAAATGACAAAAAAAGTAGAACTACTGGATATACATTTTTTTATTAACATTTTTAAACTGATTCATTTGAGATCAGTCCCATCAGTAATAACTGGTCTTGGGTTAAAGTTACCGTTTTATGGTTTACTTTCTCAAAGCTCAACACAATTCTGTTTGAAAGAATTAGAGACCGAAAGAGAAAACGTTTACAGCAGGACTTTACGACAGATGGTGATCCAGTCAACTGCCAAGCACTTTTTCTAAATACCTTCAAACCAAAGCTTCTCCCAGATGGCTTCAACCATCTGCTGTGTCAGGTTAGCACCTTCTAGGGCATGCTGCTTCCCTCATGCTGTCCTGTGATAACATGACATAACCCACTGTGTTCTGTGCACTTGACAGCATGTGTTAGAACGCTGCCAGTAGAACGTTTGCTGGTATTTAACTTAATTATTTAGCGGGATAGGTGGAGGGACACATTTCTTCTAAACTTTTTTATAGTACTGTACAGTGGTTCCCAAAGTGCGGGGCGCCCCCTCTGGGTGGGTCAAATTAATATTTTTTTTATCCTTTTTTTTTTTTTTTTGTGATAACATCTGTTTTTTAAAGATATTAAGACAAGACTTTTGGGGATAGTACTTCAACTTTGAATAGAAGGGGTTTGACGATAGTCCTATCTACAAAGGAGGGAGGCACTGCAAAAAAAGTTTGGGAACAACTGTTCAATTACGCCTAATCTTATCAAAACTTTTAGTCCAAACAATACCTGCGTTCTCTGTGAAAAAGAAGGGAAGTGTAGTACAGTTAAGACTGATGCAATGGGGTGTGTGTGTGTGTATGGTATAGGTCTAGCTATACTTGTGGGGACACTTTTTTGGTAAAATGCTATGTTGTATGGGACTGTTGTCCTTGTGAGGACCTTTTTTAGGTCCTTAAAAAAATGGTATTTTGAGAGTTTTTTTTAGTTTGGAGTTGGGATTAGAATTAGCATTGGATTAGGGTTAGGATAAGGATTAAGAGAAGGGATGCTTGTGTAATGGTTAGGGTCAGGGGTCAGGGGTCGGGGAAAGCATTATGTTTATGTGAACTCTTGAACTCTCCGGACAACCTCCTACCTCATTCCCAGACCATCTTTTGCTGCCGCTGTCCACGCTGTTGAAGCCAGAGTCCAGTCCACCAAACTGACCCGTGAACAGCTCATGGTCTGACAAACTGCCAAAAAAGCAAAAATCACATACATTAGTTATACAATACCTTAACAACACAGTTATAATGTGGGCCTCTATTCTACAGAGCACTGACTCATGGTTGTTTGCCTTACACCATCTGTCCTGTTACATTCTCTTATCTTTGTCCTTGGCCGTCTCTGTTTCATGGCCACAACTCTGTTCAGAGCCTTGTGTAGAACTCTGCTTCCTCTTTCCTTTACCATGGAAAACCTTTGCTTAACCCCCCGCATAGCTGAGCTTCTCTTTTCATCCATCCTCTTTTTTTTTTTTCACATACACATTACTACTGTTTTTGGTCAAGTACAGAATATGTTGATAATTAGCCCGCTTTCCAATGAATTCCAATTATAGTTATTTTACTGTCAACTATAATGGAGCCACCTGATGGCATTGGTCAAGATCTAATCCAGACCTTGACACTTCTGTCATTATTCATATTTTAAATGAATAAAATCGAACCCAGCAGAACCACAACACCACAACATCTAACACTCATGATACAGCTCCTGCTAAAACTGTATCGTTTGCACAGTAACAACGTATCTGACTGTAGTGCTACATATGTTATATAGCACTACATGTCTGGTCTTGCTCACTCATTCTTCCCTTGCCTCTGTTGTCTCCCCCATTTTCCCCTGAGGGGGACAGAGGGCTGAACACTGACTCTGGCTCTGCTGATATATATTGGTTATAAAATCAATTCAATTTAGATTTTAAGTGTTTTGTGAAACTTGGGCTGTATAATTAAAATCGACTTGACTGGAACATAACTAAGTTTTACATATGATACATGTTTCTATGAAGAATATGAATTACATATACTGCTACCATCTAGGCTTTAAAATCAAGATACATTTTAAGCCATCATCTATTACTAACAGTTAACTGTTAGTGTTTTGACCCTAGACACTGACTGATGTTGACGACCAAACACTTGCTAACGCAGGTAAATCCATAATGTCAGAGTAGCGTCATTGT